CATATATATATAAATGATAATATATATTTCAATATTATAAATGTATATTAATATTTATTATTTATAAAAATAAATAAACATTTATATGAACAGATAGACAGACAGACAGACAGACAGACAGATAGATAGATAGATATTTTATTATCCCAGAATTCACCAAACTAACTGGACTAATGTTGGTTTGTAGTTATTGATAAACATTTATTAAAGAAAAATATAACAAATAAAGATTTTTAAATCATTTTTGAGCCTTTATTCCTGCAGGATTCAATGTCACTTCCTAGATATGTCAAATTTAAGGGATGCAGCATTTTTTAACAGTGGAAACATTGTGCAAGACCAAACTGCACGCAAAAATATGGGCCCAAATTATGAAAAAAAAAAAGTTGATTGTCAACACATGAATATGTAACAGATAGAATGAGGGATTTGTGTCTGTGATGCTTTAGAAACGTCACCTGGTCCGGACACGGGCGGCTCGGGTTTGTGGGATCTGACCGGATCCAGTCGGTCCTTCTCCAGCTGCTTCCTGGTGCTGCGCTGCCGGGCCTCACGAAACATGGGCAGAGCGTGAGCTGCCAGAAACACAACAATCACATGAAGCGCACTAACACAGAGTACTACGCTCCTCACAGCAACCTGTTGATTAAAGCGCCCACATTTCACAGTCGCCACACACAACCCAAATAAAGTGTGTCTGTGGTGCTTGTGTGTATATGTGTGTGTGTGTGTGTGTGTTTGACTCCGGGGTCACGAGGAAAGAGCGAGTGATTTTCCATTCAGGAGTTGTGCTGATTCCTCTCACACTACATTAAGCAAAAAGGTTAGCGGTGACACATGGACTTCATCCGGATTCACGTCACCTCAATTTTCCATCGCTATTTCCTGGGGTTCGGTGGGACTGACGCTCTCGTGGCAAACGCGTGGCTGCTGAGTGTGTCGCGCGCTAATGGCATCGTGGCCCTTGGGTGAGACACAATCCGATGGAAAGCACTCACTCCGTGCAAACACAAACACACACACACTCACACACACACACACAAACTCACGTTCACTCTCACACACACACACTCACACACACACACACACACACACACACACACAAACTCACG